TGGCCCCCAAGCTCCCTGCCTGTGGTCTGCCTCCATGGCCCCCAAGCTCCCCCCTTCCCCCATGGTGGTCTGCCTCCTTGGTCAAGAAGCTCCCCGCCATGGTGGTCTGCCTCCATGGCACCCAAGCTCCCTGCCTGTGGTCTGCCTCCATGGCTCCCAAGCTCCCTGCCTGTGGTCTGCCTCCATGGCCCCCAAGCTCCCTGCCTTGATGGTCTTCTTCTTTGGTCAAAAAGCTCCCACCATGGTGGTCTGCCTCCATGGCCCCCAGGCTCCCCTCTTCCCCCATGGTGGTCTGCCTTCTTGGTCCACATGTTCTAAGTGAGACCATTATGTAGCATCGTCTCTGATTTTCCTCAGAGTTCATATTGTGTCAACATAAACTAATAACTACTATTATTAAATTTTAATACAAAAATTCAAATGCAGTATAAATCATCTTTTTCCAGTTGCCACTCAAAGCCCACAACACAGGTCCAAGCCATTTTGAGCCTTACTTTCTACCTTTGCAGCCCACAATTCTTATATTCCTGCCAAACATTTCTGCTCATCAGTCTACAAATACACTGTGCACCTCCTTCATTTGGTGTCCTTTGTTCCAACTCCACTTACCTAAACGTTATTCTTCCTCAAAGCTGTCTCCCGAAGTTCAATCCATTATTCCAAATCCACTAATAACTCACCCCTCCACACCCCCACCACACACCTGCTCAGAAAAACTTCCCTGTTAGAAACTTTCTCCCCCCACTTCAGGATTTTCCATAGAATATGAGTCATACTGACCATACAGCTTAAGATCTGCCTTGCTTCCCATTACTAATGCATGTGCCTGTGAAATACTGAGATGAGACTCAAGCCAATACACACTTACCTCCAATGCTGATATAATGCCTATAGTTTGATACTGCAAACCCTGGAAACTTCCTAAATCTGGGATATTCTCTTATATCTGATTTTAAAATATGTATAACCTAGGCAATTGAGAGGGAGGTTATTTGGTTCCATCTCTTGTTCTTGGGCTAACACTAAAATCTGCTCATATTTACCTAAAAACTTCTTCAAGTATCTGGTGGAGGCACATTAAAATCTCTCAGGAAAGATGGGGATGTAGCTAAGTGACAGAGCACTTGCCGAATACTACAAGGCCAAGGACTTGCTGCCCAGTATGACAGCAGAAAAAACAGAAACAAAAAAACTGAGTTAGGGATGGTGAGACAGGCCTGTAACGCTAGCACTTAGGAGGCAATGGCAGGAAGATCACAAGTTCCAGGCCAACCTGGCATACATAGTGAATTCCAGGACAGTCTTGGCTACATACCAAGATGCTGTCCCCCCAAAAGAGAAAGAAAACATCCCAGGAAGAAGCTGTTCAATAAGGAATTTAACATTTGCCACAAACAATCCAGGCAGTAGAGCACAAACTTGTGACAAGCAAAGGAAAAATAACCTGAAAAACTTGAATGATTCCTTCAAATGAAAAGCATACAAACAGCAAATGGAGGCTGACACAATGACTTAAAGCCTGCACCACACCCACTTCTGTTATATTCTTCTTTCAATGCTTTTATTGTTTTCTGGGATCTAAAAGGAAATGTATGTTGTCAACATTTAATAAATATAATGCTACATTTTCATATAAATTTTTAGAATATAATTAGTGTTTGTGGTCTATTGGCTTAAATACTAACATGGTTTAAATAAATTTCAAACTTGTAAACTACACTATCAAAGTATATTACAAACTTAAATTTTAGCCATTAATGCAAAGACCACATATTCAGAGTTTCTTGGCAGTTTCACTTTTGAGGAAAGAAAATCCACTGTAAGATGAAGAATTATTGGGCATTCTAAGGCCTAATTTTCACTTCCCTGAACCAAGTGTATAATCAAATGATGAAAACTTTTGGCATTTTGCATGAGATATTTTTGCTAACTTGCTTTTACATCTTCTGGTGTATCCTCAGTGCCAAAACACTCTCCAAGTTCTTCAACTTGAACTTTCACACCCTGTAAACATTACTACAGTGTCCATGCTTTGCAGGGAAGACACCAGGAGGTGGTGTCAGGTGTTCCCAGTAGAGCTGAGTTTCTAGTTTTTTAATCCAAACTGATGATTCTTCCACAATTAGCATTCCTCAGATGCTCTTTGGTAAGCAAGATTTCTTACTCATCTACAAACCTACTTTTCGTTCTATCTTTCTAGAAATCTACAACTTTTAAAATAACTTTTTTTTTTTTTGGTCTTTTTGAGACAGGGTCTCCCTGTAGCCCCAGCTGTCTTGGAACTCATTATGTAGACCAGGCTAGCCTTGAACTCACAGAGATCCGCCTGCCTCTGCCTCCGAGTGCTTGGGATTAAAGGCATGCGCCACCACGCCTGGCTAAAATAACTTTTTTAAAGACTAAAAAATTTTCAGACTAGCCCTGTACCTGAAGGAAGCTACATTTTCTTGGATCAGCATGGGCCAGCATCATTCGTTGCCATTTCAAAAGTGCAGCCAAGAAAAACAGCAGTCACAGAGATTCCTAAAGATCAATCTTCTAGTTCCCTGAGAGCCCACCCTTAACTAAGTCAGATCACCACAGAACCACATACCTTGGTTACCTCCACCTGGACACAGAAGACAACTTCCATAAACTATACTGAATACATTAAATGATGTATGAGATGCTTTCTTCAAGATAACCAATAAGCAAACTGCTCCAGACCATGTTAGAGACAGCCATATTTGCCTAAGCTACTGGCATATCTTGGAAATTATAAACTCTTTAAGAAGTTGTATTCCTCTCTTCACTTCTAGCTACTTCAAAGCTAAGAATCGAATGTGTGATTTGCCTTCAGACAATGTTGAATAAAAACAGTAAGCCATTCACTCCCTTTCCAGATTCCCCACCCATACAAAGTCTTTCAATGTAATCATGTTACTTTTCTTTTCAACTTTTTTTCTTTATTTTATGTATTATTTTTATGTGTATGCCTGTATTGCCTGCATGTAGGTAAGTGCACCCGTGTCATGCAATGCCTGCAGAGGTCAGAAGAGGCTGTCAGATTCCCTGGGACTGGAGTCATGGACATTGTTAGCTGCCATGTGGGTGCTGGGATTCAAACTCGGGTCTTCTGCAAGAAGAACCAGTGTTCTTAACCACTGAGCCATCTCTCCAGCCCCTCGTGTTACTTCTTAAAGAAAGCAATGCTAATGCCAAGCGTGGTGGAGTCTGCCTTTTGTCCCAGCACTCGGGAGGCAGAGTCAGGCAGATCTCTGTGAGTTCAAGGTCAACCTGGTCTACATAGTGAGTTCTAGGACAGCTGGGGCTACAGGGAAACCCTGTCTCAAAAACACACAAAAAAAAAAAAAAGAAGAAGAAGAAGAAAGATAGAAAGAAAGAAATGCTAATTAAATATTTTTAAGTTTAAAAATAAACAAAAAAACAGTAATCTGTAGATGCGATGATTCTCCTTGTGTGCAGGGGCTACACACTAAGCACTTGTTGACTGTCTCCTAACAACTGAGGTATCACTGCCAGTATAAAGAAATAGAAGCTTAGCAAGGAGGATCATAAACTAACATTTAGTAATGCTATCTACCAGACTCTGTAAGGAACTGTGAAGGAACAGAGCAAGTTAAGAAAACTAACTTGACCACTATCTTTACAATTAATACATGAGAATTAGCCTTTATTACTAGACAGAATAATATGCAGAAGTTCCATGAAAACTATCAAAAATTATTAGTAGTATCTCATTTCTTAGTTTTGACAAAAGATTGAAATAGGAAATGAAAAATAAAACACACTAGGCATGGTGGTACATGCCTGTAATCCTAGCACTCAGGAGAGTTACCTCAAGCTCAAGGCCAGCCTGGGGTACATATCAAGTCCCAGGGCAGCCAAGGCTATACAAGCAATATCCTGTCTCAAAAAACAAAAACATAACAAAACAAAAAAATTTAAATATTAAATTAAATAAAAGCCCAAAGATGACTCAATATATAATGGATTTCTACTATTTCTGCTATATGAAGTTCAAAACATACACTATTAAAAAAGTAACAAAATAGCATTATATAAGTAGTCTACTTAATTGTTTTAAAGTTCACTCAATCTAAATTATTTTTATCAAGTTTTCGGATAAGATCAAACATTTTCATGAGTTTTGACAGTATGTCTATACCACATAACCATCACCCCAATCAACATATAGAACATTTCCACCCTAAAAATACCTGCTCTCTCAACCAGTCCTTCCCACCTCTGCCCCAGGTACCATTAGTCTGACTATTCTAGAATTTCATAAATACTGAATCAGAAGGGGTACTTGTGTCTAACTTCATCTGCTAACCACAAGGCTTCTAAGATGCATCAGTGGTTTGTTCCTTTATGAATATCATTTCACCGTTTGGATATAACACAATTTGTTTACCTATTTGGCATTTAGAAAATATTTGGTTGTTTATAGTTTGGGGCTATTCTGAACTGAGCTATTCAGAATATTCACATGTCTTTATGTAGACGTATCTTTTTAGATCCTTCAGGACAAATGTCTAGGAGTACAATTGCCAGGTGACAGGTTACATATATGTTTAATTTTATAAAGAAATATCCAACTGTTTTCCAAAATCATTATGCCATTTTATATGCTCACCAGCAATGCATGAGTCTGGATGTTGCACATTCTCACCAAAATGTAGGATTTTTTTTTTTGTTTTTTTTGTTTTGTTTTGTTTTCTGAGTTAGGGTCTCATGTAGGCCAGGTTGGCCTCAAACTCATTACATAGCCAAGGATGGCCCTAAACTCCTGATCCTCCTATCTCTACATCCCAACTGCTGGGTTTACAGGCATTTGACATCACATTTGGCTCCAAAATCAGTCTTCTTGATTTCAGTCTTTCTGTGAGTGTGTGGTGATCTCACTGTGGTTTTGATCTGTAATGATTTATGATGTGGAGAATTTTTCAGGTACCTAAAGGCCTTTTGCATACTATTCTGTGTTTTGTGAAGTATTTCTTTAAATCTTTTGTCCATTTTAAAGTGAGCAGCTTATGATCTATTATTAAATTGTAGGCAGACTTTATATAGTTTTTGTTTTTGTTTTGCTTTTTCGTCTTTTTGAAGCAGGGTCTCCTGTAGCCCAAGCTGTCCCGGAACTCACTATGTAGAACAGGCTGGCGTCGAACTCACAGAGATCCACCTGCCTCTGCCTCCCAAGTGCTGGGACTACAGGCATGCGCCACCACACCCAGCTGGACTTTATATATTCTTGGTACAATCTCTGATATTTATTTTTTTAATTTATGTGTATTCGTGTATTGCCTGTAGGTAAGTGTACTCATGTCGTGCAATGCCTGTAGAGGACAGAAGAGGCTGTCAGAGCCCCTGGAACTGGAGTTACGCACAGTTGTTAGCTGCTATGTGGGTGCTGGGATTAGAACAGGGTCTTCTGCAAGAACAACATGTGTTCCTAACCATTGAGCCATCTCTCCAGCCCCTAATACTCTAATTTTTTTAAAGTTAGCCCAATTTCATTTTTTAAACTTAAAATCTACCATCTACCTTGACTTATCTTTTATAAAGGAAATCTATTAAAAAAAAAAAAAAAGAAAAGAACACATTTCACACAAGAAATCTGCTGTATGATAAAACTGAAAATAGAAACTAAAAACGTCATTAACAAAATTCCCATTAACTTTGATGAGCATCAAATAACATAAACGTCTGTGTTTGATTGAACTACAGTGTCTACAAAACAGAAATGTTCTTCAAGCTCTTGCTGGTATTTTATGAGTTTCGACCTGAAATACCTGTCTGAGCTCTGGAACACAGGAGCTGAAGCACAAATACAGTGCTCATCTTTAGCTAAGATCCAGACCTCCAGGACATTACAAAGCTGGACGAGCTCACCTGAGTAGCTGCGGACTGACAGGAAGATGACGATGACGACGAGACAACAGGTATGTCAGACTGGACAGCAGCCACAGTGGTAGCGGGAGTGAAAATCAGCTGTACAGACAGAAAATCAAAAAATACCCTAAGACAAAAGAGCATGTCCCACACACAGTGTGCAGCAAGCAGGCAAGAGACTGAAATCTGTGACAGAAAGACAATGCAGGCTAGGACTATCTCCTAAGTGAAAGACTTTATATGACAAGGAGAAGGGTCTGATAATAGGGAGCTCAAAAACTCATAGACAGCTTTGAAACAGCTCATCATTCTAAGAGCAGAAAAAATAAATCTACTCAAAGAAAAAAATGCACTTTGGAGATAAGAAATCCTCAAACCAAATTTTATCCCAAATAAAAATTACTATCTCACAATTCCTAAAAATGGAAGGTAAAAGTAGAAAACTATTGTCACTATTTTGGGATACAAATTAAATTTCAATAAGAAACACAAAAAAGTTTCTTTAGTCTACAAGGATAGCTATGCCTCACATTATACAATGTTTCTCTCCATGACAAAGGATTTATAGGATTAACTGAGATTGTTGGTGATTTTAAAACTATAATGTAAATGCCAGAATTTAGAGCAACAAAAGATCTTCACATCAAAATAAGAAAAGGAAAAACATTATTTATGCATCATCATCTCTTTTCAAATTTTGAATACTAAACAAGTACCTTTAATTTCTAAGAAAATACAATCTACTCAATCTAATTGAATTTAGTAAATTATAACAGTTTTCAAAAAGTATATAAGTACACTATTTTTAAATAATTTCAAAAATTACTCATTCCTTACTGCTATTTAAAGTAATCAATTAAGGGCCTTATTTAATCTTGAATTTTTATTAGCATACGTTAAATGTAGGAAAAACGAGCCTTGTAGGACTTCCATGCACATAACAAAATGACACACGCACCAACCCCGCTCCTGTCTTACTCCCTCTCCTGCCTCCCCAATCCCCAGCTTTTCCTTTAGATCATTTAAACGTCAGTTTTTTAATAATTTATCAAATCTAAGTAAATTCAACAACAAATTCTCACAAAAAGGTAATTTTCAATATATATATAGCCTAAAATCACTACATCTAAAAAGATGATATTCCATGTAGTTGGAACCATAGGAACTGCCAGGTTTTTTGTTTTTGTTTTTTTTGTTGTTGTTGGTTTTTTTTTGGTCTTTTTGAGACAGGGTCTCCCTGTAGCCCCAGCTGTCCTGGAACTCACTATGTAGACCAGGCTGGCCTTGAACTCACAGAGATCCACCTGCTTCTGTCTCCTGAGTGCTGGGACTAAAGGCGTGTGCCACCACACCCGGCAGGAACTGCCAGTTTTAAAGGTCAAAATAGTAAATAATAATAATTAAAAATAAAAAAGCAAAACAACAAATGGCCCAACCTAATTTTAAAGTGTATTATTAAAGGCGATTTTATGGGAGAAAAGTAATCCAGAAAAAAAATTGTAATGTCTGAACAATTTGTGGTAAAAGGCATGTCATAGCAGTATTTTCTATTAGAAACATGACGAGAAACTTTCCAATTTCAGGTGATGAACTTGAGATCCACATATACATTCAGTTTGTTGGTCAAAAAAACCTATCTATTAGGAGGCTACGGATGGCAAGCATTGGTAGTGTGCTTGGCTGGCACACATGAAGCCCTGGGTTCAATTCCCAGTACTGAAAAATTAATTAATCAAATACATATGTCATCTATATAAACAAAATATATATATATACATGGGCCAAAAAATGTCTAATTTCCTGTAAAACATATCAAACAATGTCTACATTCCTTAGAAAAGCTCAACAATTAAATAAGAAAATCAATAAGTACCTAAATACAAAATAATCAATTAACATTCCTTTAGTAATAAAAAAATCAAAGTGCACATAAGCACACAACCTTGAAAAATGTGAAATAGTAATGACCAAAGCTATGAACTGTCTTGTAAACTCTCAAGAACTCCAATCCAGATTTCAGAAGGTTCTAGGACATAAGTTCCTGCTTAGAGTCAATGACTAAGTTTTTAATATTGCCAACTATCTCATTAAATTTAAGATGTCGAAAGTATACAATGAGTTTATACATCACTCTAAATACTAAAATCGTTAAGATGGCATTGATTATAAAATACTCTTTAGTTTCTGAGATGTTAAAATGTGGGGAAAAAAAGTTTTAAAAATCAATAACTTGCTGAGCATCATAGCACACACCTTTAATCTCAGCAACTGGGAGGCAGAGACAGGCAGATCTCTGTGAATTCAAGGTCAGCCTGGTCTACATAGTGAGTTCCAGGCCAGCTGGGGCTACAGGGAGACCCTGTTTCAAAAAAAAAAAAGACAAAAAAAATCAGTAACTTAGTATTAAAAAATATTTTACCACCAGGCATGGTGGCACAAGTCTTTAGTCTCAGCATTTAGGAGGCATAGGTAGGCAGATCTCCAAGAAATCAAGGCTACCCTGGTCTACATAGCAAGTACCAGGCCAGTTGGGGCTACAGGGACACCCTGTCTCAAAAAGACCAAAAAAAAGTACCAAGAAAGTCAACTAATTCAATGCAGAATTTTTTGTGACATTTTATAAACACACAAGGGCTAAACATGCATGCGTGTACACACATACACACAAATTATTAGACATTTCTTAAATTGCATTAAATCAAGAAGCATTTTGAACACTCAAATCCTTACACACAAAAAAACTGGTGGTCATCTCTTACCATCTGAGCTCTGAGATACATCTGGGCTTGGCTGGCCGTCAAGGTAGGGGAGGTACTCCCTAGGAGCATAGTCTGTTGGGTAATACTACCACTGGTAGAGCTGGAAGCCTGGGAACGACTTATCAACTGTGCAGGTGTAGGAGAAGTGGACAGGTTGATCTAAGGAAGAAAAAAACATCAGGTCACAGGCTTCTGTGTCTGGCCTCCAGGCTCACAACTTAAAAATTCTAATTCAGTTTATACTGTTTTATCATACTGAAGGGATAAAAATTAAGACACAGATAATCCATTCACATATATAAAAACATGCAGGTAACATATAGTTAATATAATATCTAATTTAAAAGCTCTCAAAGCAGAAGATAAAATTGCCACCTGTCAACAGATGAAAAATCCTGAACACTGGCTACGTAATTATTGTATAAATACCACTTTAAAGTACAATTGGCCATTTTAAGAATAAACTAGCGAGCAGATGTGGTGCTCACATCTGTAATCCAGCACTCAAAAGGCTGCGGCATGAATTTCGTGGATTCAAGGCCAGCCTAGGCAAGTTCCTGGCCAGCCTGAGCTACATAAGATCCTGTCTCAAAAGAAAAGACTAGTGTACAGTCACAGTCAGTCTTCAGAAAAATACATAATAAGTTGGAAACTTGGTTGCATCTGCGAAGGGAAAAACAGTACGGTAGGTAGGGAAATGGCAAAGGGAGATGGCTATACCTTTTATCTTTCCAATTTCAAATCATGTTCACATATCATTCATTCTTAATAATTTCAAACAGAGACTAATATAACCCAACCTCATCTTAAATCCTTTTTATGAAACAAAGCAGAAAATAAAAGCAATAGCTTATGAGACTTCTAATTCAGGCAATGAATACACATCCATGTGCTCAAATACACTCACTGAAATGCTGGATCAATATGAAAAATGAGAATATAGTTAAAATCAAAAGGGGAGAAGGGGAGGGAAATTGTCAAGAGTCAGGAAGGAAGAAATTCAATGCCAGAGATGTGAGCTCCAGTTGACACCTGGCAATCTAAAGGCTCGTGAGACTTAACAAAGATAGAAAGAAGCCCATGTCTGAGTCTGTTACAGGGGAAAGCTGGACATAGACAGGGTCCCAAGAAGAGCTGAGCTACTGTGAAAAGGGAAGTGAGAGAGCTCCACTCCACACTCTGAGAAGCAGCAAGGAAGCTGTCTGTCTACACCTGCCCTGCCATACTGGAAGGGGAAGAAGTCACCCGCTAGAAAAAAACTCTTGTATGTGTGCAAGTATAAGATCCAATTCACATGCCCTACGTGGTCCCATAATCCAACCCAATACATGAGCATTTGAAATCTAGTTCCAAGAGGAAGACAGAACAAGCTGCTGAGCAGGGCTCTCCAGCAACCCTTCACCTGAGGAAACACCTATCTGAACTATCCATGCATGAAATTACTTTCATGTGACCTAAGGAAACCAACCAACAGACAGAGGATATGGTCACAGCATAAGAAAAGATGTACTGAAGAGGGTTGGAAGGACTCCTTCACAGTTCCTGTGTCACCCAAACCCCAGGCAGCACAGCTACCAGAGAAATACATCAGCATGGGGGAAACAGAGGAAAGTAGCCATACAACTTTGTACCCAGGACTGCCTGCCAAAGTAAAACCCAAGACTGGGTAGACTCTCCCAGCCCCTAATTCTAGGCTGGTGCCTGTGGACTGAGTCTTTAGACCTACCCTTGCATCAAATGGACTCAGTCCTTGTGAGATGGACCTGCATTCTGGTCCAAATCATTGCCAGTTGACTGCAAAGCCTTGAATTCCATACAAAACAGCAGCAGGAGAGACAGGGCCTTGCAAGGGCTTCCCAGTGCTGCATCAGCCTCAACAAGCAGGAGGTTCCAGTCCAGTACTAAGTCATTCTTAGAGACCACAAGATATCAACCTAACATTGCAACAGCTGCAGTGACCATGGTGTTAGGGACTGCTGTTAAAGAACATTCCTAGAGAATGACAGGCTGCAAAGACTGAAAACAAACACCTACCTCTTCAATACACAGAAAGAGATGAATAGCAACAAGGATCAGAAACTGTCAAGGGGCAGGGGGAGGTGTCAGGGAAACATGACACACCCACCAAAAGGACAAATGTTGCCAGCGAATGACTGCATTAAGATGGAGTGTATGAACCAGCTGACAAAGAATTTCAGATAGCCTGTTTTAAGGGAGCTGTGACAACTTCAAGCACACACACACACGCGAATCACAAATTCATCAGAGAAAGTTATCAGATTAAAATTTAAAACGTGGTTAAGAGCACTGGCAGCTCATGCAAAGGACCCAGGTTTGATTCCCAGCACCCACATGGCAGCTAACAGCTGTTAACTCCAGTTCTAGGGGGTCTGATGCCCTCTTCAGGCCTCTGTGGGCACTGTATGGCATGGGTATACTTACATATATGCAGGTAAAAGACTCATACCCATAAAATAAAAATAAAAATAAAATTAAAAACAAAACAAAACAAACACAAGTCCTAGAACTGAGTAATACAATAAATTAAGTATAAAAAATACAAAAAAATTTTAAAAATACAAAACAACATCAACAGCAAAATGGACCAAGCAAAATAAGAATCTGTGAAGTTCAAAGCGGCTATCTGAAAATACAGCCAGAGGAAAAAGAATGAAAAGAATGAAGGTTCACAGAATTTAAGGGTTAGCAGTGAAAGAGCAAACATGCAAATTCCTGGTGTTCAAGAAGGTATAGAAAAGATAAAGGAAGAGGAAGAAAATGTAACTAAAGAAGTAATAGTACTGTCCAAAGCTAGAGACAGACATACTAATAAATATCTGGATACAGATGGCCTAGTACATAAACTGCTTGTCATGCAAGCATGAAAGCCAAGGTTTAAATCCCAGAACCCAGTAAATGCTGGGCAGGCACGGCACTGCACCTATAATTCCAGTCCTTGGAAGACAGTCACCAGGGCATGTTAGCAAGCTAGACTACCATATATAGTCTGGCTCTGCGTTCAACCCTCCCTCAACAGATAAGGTGGAGAGCAGCTGGGGAGAATCCCAGGGTCAGCCACACACACACACACACGCACACACGCACGCACACAGATGAGAACATACTAACACACCACATGTACTTATGCAAATACACATATATAATACAGAATTCGTATCTGTGATCTGAATTTTACTTCTACTCCACTACTGAAACCCTATTAGTAATAGCCACTACTGACAGCTAATACAGCAGGGTGTGGTGCTGCACATCTGTGCTCCCAGCATTGGGAGGTGGAAGCAAGCTAGATGATCGGGAATTCAAGGCTGGATTCACTAGTTCAAGTACAGTCGTCAGCACTACCTGAAAACACATCTCAAAAAAAAAAACAAACCAATCTAACAGATCAGTCTTTCTGACCCACTGGCAAACTATTCATGCTCCACCCTCAAACTTCTTCTAATCCTGTATCACATCTACCATCAGTTTCAAACAACAATTCTGACTCCCTCAATTCTCAATCGTAACTCCTATTTGGGATTACAGAAAACTCCTTTCTGCATGTCTCTTACCAGCTCAGACTCAAGCTCTTCAAATAGCAAACCATTACTCCTTTTTAACCAGTTTCACCACAAACAGCACTGACATCTCCTAAAATCTCCCAAAACATTACCTGAAATGTTCTGACTCTTCCCTCTCCTTTACCAAACACACACAATCAACTACATGTCTTGTTTCTGCATCTTTTATTCTCCAAATAGCCTCAGTTACTTAGTCTTAGAGCCCGGTCCCATGGCTACCAGCTACACTACTTTAGCAACTACAAACTAATCTGCCTTCTGAGAATCGTGTCTCCTCTAGCTTACCCAAAAACTTTCCCCTGGTTTTATTCAGCCATTCCCTTGCTCGGTCTTTCCTGTCTCTAATTTTAACATTAGTTCCTTTTTTTGTTTTTGTTTTGAATCAGGGTCTTCCTATATCCTTAAATGGCCTGGAACTTGAGATGTAAACCAAGCTGGCCTTGATCTACAGAGACCAGCCTGCCATTGTCTCCCCAGGGCTGAGATCCATGCCCCAAATTTCTGAGGGTGTTTTGTTTTTTGTTTTTTCTTAACAAGTAGAATTCTATAGAGTGAAAACAATATGCTTTTTTTTTTTTTGGTCTTTTTTGAAGCAAGGTCTCCCTGTAGCCCCAGCTGTCCTGGAACTCACTATGTAGAACAGGCTGGCCTTGAACTCACAGAGATCCGCCTGCCTCTGCCTCCCAAGTGCTGGGACTACAGGCATGCGCCACCAATATGCTTTTTTTTTTTTTTTAGAGAAAATAAAGATTATGAAATAGTAACTTCCTGACCCAGTATTCTTTATCTAAGTTGTTACGATCAAATAACAAGTTTCATGTCAATAAACACTTAACCCATGAAGGCCAACAGATCAGTAATTATCAAGACAAGAAATCAATCTCCTCAGCACTGAAACAAACTTCCCTCCCTCCCACCAGGTGACTGGCTCTGGCCTTTTTTTTGTACTGCTCTGATGATCTAAACCAGGAATACTAGCAGTTTCCAGTATTTCCTCTGTCAATTCCATCCCAATTTCCTAAATTCCCTTTCCCTTAAAGCCTTGACTAATCTGTCCCCTCAAACCTCAAGCTACAACAAACAAATCTAAACTGTAGGATATTCCATAAAACAGTTTGACAGGGCTGGAGAAATGTCTCTGTGGAGTTTGTATCCTACCACCCAGCTCACAAATGCCTGTTAACTCCAGTTCTCAGGGCTCTGGCACCCTCTCCTGACCTCCTCAGCACCTGCATGTGCATATGTATATATATATTCTGACACATACACACCTAAATATTTTTTAAAGATAGTGAATTAGGGGCTGGAGAGATGGCTCAGCGGTTAAGAACACTAGCTGCTCTTGTAGAGGACCTGGGTTGAATCCCTGCACCCACATGGCAGCTAACAACAATCTGAAACTCCAGTGCCAGGGGATTTGACACCCTCTCCTGACTTCCGTGGGCATTGCACATGGGTTCACTTTCATAAATTAAGGTAATACATGGATACACATAAAATAAAAATAATAAAAATGTTAAAAAAAGATACTGAATTATGCCAGGCATGGTGGCACACACCTTTAGTCCCAGCACTCGG